TGTGAATGTGTGAATGTGTGAATGTGAGTGTGGACATGAGTGTGACAGACAGAGAGAAAGACGGAGAGACGGAGACTCGGCAGGGCCTGCGCGTGGAGCTCGGTTCCGAGGGCGATCATCTTCACGGCGCTCTTGTTTGCCCCGACGGTACCATCACTGCCAAGCCCATAGAACATGCACTCCGTGGTGCCCTCTGGAAGCACATTGAGCCACGGGCCCACCGGCAAAGACAGATGCGTGACATCGTCTTCGATGCCCACGACGAATCTAGGCTTCGGGCTGTCCTTGGCGAGATTCTCGAAGACGGACAGCACCATGTTGGGAGTGAACTCTTTTGAGCCCAGTCCATAGCGGCCTCCGACGACCACGATCTCGGAGTGAGCACTGGCATGCAGCATCGAGGCAACCTCCAACAGGAGCGGCTCTCCCTGGGACCCCTGCTCCTTGGTGCGATCCAGCACGCAGATACGCTCCGTCGTTTTTGGCAAGGCTGCCAAGAACCGCGAACAGTCCCAGGGCCGGAAGAGACGCACCTTAAGGACGCCGACACGTTGCCCCTTGTGCTTCGACAAAAACATGGCCGTCTCTCCACAAGTCACGGCGGCACTGCCCATCACGACTATCACGTGCTTGGCCTCCGGATGCCCTTCATAGCCGTAGAGGGCGAAGTGCAAGCCGGTCTGCTCTTGAACCAGCTTGCCCTTCTCCTCGAAGAGATCTGCTAGCCCATCATAGAAGCTGTTGCCCGCCTCGACGCACTGGAAGAAGATGTCGGGACCCTGCGACGTGCCCTGAACATGTGGGTGGCGAGGGTTCATTGCTAGGTCATGATGCTCCTTCACCGCATCCCAGTTGATGAAGGACTTCATGGTGTTGTAGTCTATGAGCTTGATCTTGTTCACTTCGTGGCTGGTGCGGAATCCATCGAAGAAGTGCTGCACTGGGACCCGGCGCTCCATGGAGACAAGGTGGGAGACAATGGCATTCACCTGCGCCATCTCCACAGACTCGGAGGCCAACATGGCCCAGCCGGTCGAGCGGCAGGCCATCACATCGCTGTGATCCCCGAAGATGGACAAGGCCTGTCCCGCCAGAGCCCGTGCGGCGACGTGCATGACGCACGGGAGCAACTCGCCCGCGATCTTGTACATGTTTGGGATCATCAGCAGCAGACCCTGACCTAAGTTGACATGCACAGACATATTCGAGAACCCGCGGACCAGCACAGGAAAACGAAGCCAGAACCGCCAGCGATAAAACATCGTCCAAAGTTTGCAACACTAGCTCGGGCGGAGAGGCTGGCAGTGAAGGTAGTGCTGAAGGCGCCAGCTTTCAGAGCCCCGTGCAGAGCACCGGCTGCGCCAGCCTCGCTTTGCATCTCCGTCACACTGAGCTTCTGTCCATAGCAGTTGATGAGGCCTGACACAGACGCAAACAACAAGCTTGGCTGCACCGCATCGCAGAAACTTTGAGATACAAACAAGCCTTGCGCGGCCCATTCGTCCACCATCTCTCCCATCGGAGAGCTCGGCGTGATGGGATAAATGAAGGCGCAGTCACTGAGGGCGTAGGCAACGTGAGCTGCGGCTTGGTTCCCATCGATGCATGCAATGGAGCCTGTTGTAGCCTCGATGATGTCCGTGTCGGCACATTGGTGCACTATTGTCTTGTTCTCTTGCTGGAACATGACCCGCTGCACTTCCTTGGCCTTCATAAACTGCTCGTATTCGATGTCGGCCGCACCAGACCCTGCCCCAAGGGGCTCCAACCGCTCCGGGGTCTCCTCTTGACGTTCCTGGCCCCGTGTCAGGAACTGGAGGCAAAGACCACCATAGGGACCGAAGGGGCTTGTCCTTGGCACA